CCTCTGTTTTTTCAGGCACACACACACCCCATCTGTTTTTTCACGCGCACACACACATACTATTTCTATTTTTCACTTTTTTCATTTGGATTGGATTAGAAAGTGCTTCATTCCACTTGGTCATTCTAGACGGATTTAGATGGTAAGACCTTCGTCCTACTTCGCGGGCTTGCTTAATGTTTCTTTCTGATTTTTTTAAATTTCTAAAAAAATGGCACTAATCATTTTTTTTTCTAGTCATGTATCCAGTTTTTATGAATCAGGGGCTACTTGTAGAGGGGACAATGTGGTGGGGATGAATCAACATCTTTTCAAGAAGATTACTGTTTTTCTTTCAGCAATGAGGTAAATTTTTAAGATGATAATTTTCTTTATTAGCTAATCCTTTCAAGAATTATAGGGTGTTATGAATCTATAGTCTTTTAGTTAATTGCAGAACCTCGGTGCAACTATCAAATAATTGATGCTTCAAGTTGCGCTTTTTACATGGTTGGATCTCTAGCAAATAATTCATGCTTCAAGCTTATTAGCTTTGTTGAAGCATCTCTAGCAATTTTTTTGGTTGCATTTTACATAATAGGAGTTTTGTATGATTTGATTTTTAGAGGTTTACGGATCTAGCTCATGGGATGCTTCAACGAAGTCGGTGAAATTGAAGGTCACCGGCTTACAGGGTTGGATTTCTAGCAAATAATTCATGCTTCATGCTTAGTAGCTGCATTTTTTATGCATTCGATCTCTACAAATTTTTTGGTTGCGTTTTTACATAATAGATTTTTGTATGATTTGGTTTTTAGAGGTTTACGGATCTAGCTCATGGGATGCTTCAACAAAGCCAGTGAAATCGAAGGTCATAGTAAATGAAAGGATAGTGAAGTTTTTTTTGGTCAAATAGGAAATATGCTTGATTACTTTTATTTTTAAAAAAAAACTAGGAAATTTTTATTGAATGAGTCAATCAAAGAATTACAAGAAACAAGGAGGAAAGAAAATTTCAATCCTCATTTACATCACCAAAACATGGCTTTAATCCTTCAAAACAAAAAAAAACCATAAAAAAATTATTTCTTTGAGCTCCCAGACTAGACTCCCCAAACCAGCAGAGCACTGAACAGCAGTTCAACACAACAACACTTTGCTTTTGGCCCAACTCAGCAATTGCTACAGAATGCAAAAAGTCACACTGATTTGTTGCAGAAAGAGGATAGTCATCCCTTATCATAAAAAACCATCACTTTTTTCTTTCTTACATCAGACAATCCCCTCTGATCATGCCTGAGTACTAACTTCACCAAATTAGGCAAGGAAGCAGAGACAAAAAAATCAGTTGAATGACCATCCTGCACTACCCTATTAGCCAACTTATCAGCCACAAAATTGGCTTCTCTGTACACATGCCTTATCTGAAAATCCAATTTATCAAGCATCTCTCTAATCTAGGCCAAAAAGGACCAAAGAAACTAGGCACAATCAAAAACTCCCAACACAGATTCCACTAACACCGAGGAATCTGATTCAATCAGATTTTTATATCCACACAATCCATACTCCACCAATCTTAGGCCATCAAGGAGAGCCCTAAATTCTCCTTTTAGGAAAGTCACTAATATGTGATGAGACTTTTCTGAAATACTCCATGATGAAGACACGTGTCTTCGGTATTTACCAAAATACTGTTGCTAAGATCAAGCACCATCGGCGCATAAAGGTCCTCGCGCCCCGAGGTACTCGTCATATAGGATCATGGCATTCAGTACGAGTTACAACCAACACGTAGCCTCGGTCTGATATGGTACCTCGGTAGGTATACCTCCCTCGGTTCCGAGATGAGCCTTTCCTCGGTGCCGAGAGATACCCCGTCCTGGACGCTTCCTCTACTCCAGGATAAGTTATTGACGTACAGGTCATTAGCCTAGGCTAGTCTAGGCTATTCATCATGACCTCGTCTTACACAATTAGTGTCAGAACGTACTGGAATGCAGGGGTCACAGCCAATAGGGGATGGACGCGTGGCGTATGATATCACATCGAAGACAGAGAAACCGCATGCCGTTGCTGACACGCGACTTGGGAAAGCGAACGATTAATTACACCATTCCCTTGATGAGACCGCATTCAATGCGGTAAGGCTTGGAAATGAAAGACAATAAATGCTCCTAATACAGAGCATTTATTGCATCCTCCCCGAGAGGAGTACATTGTATCGTCGGCATCCCGATGATACAACATTGATTGCTCGGGACCCCGAGCAGTTAAGAAGAGAAGACATTCCTCATCCGAATCAATGCGCACACTGCCTGTACCTAATGATCACCTACTGACTACACTGACAGCAATCATGAGTTTTTGAGGTATAAATACTCCTTGCAAAAGGCAAGACGGGTATGAAACAAAAAACTCTTTACTACAATACACACTCAGTGTTTTCTCCTTCCTCTCTCTTTTCTCAAAGACTGACTAGATCGTCGGAGGGGATACGCCGAAAAACACTCCGGCGCCCTTCTAACTTGTTCTTTTTTGTTCCAGGAACCTCTTTCAGCCTTACTGGATCGTTCTTCCGCTCCCCCAGGGTCTCCCGTTGCCGTTCCAGGTTACCACCGGACCTCGCAGGCTGTTCCAAGCAGCGTGGTTGGTCACTCAACTGGCTCACTCGAGTTCACCAAGGGAGAGATCTGTTCTCGTTTTTTATATTGTGCAGGATCTTGCACGCACAATCTGACTTAAACTTGCCCTTAAGATTATGCATCAAACAATAATGCATTTGCTTGATCCATATATAAATGAAATATTTTTTTGATTGTGATTTTGCTTCATAAAATTCTGTTGTTTAGAGAGTAAGTACTTGAAATGATGTTGGCTTTGTACTTAATTTTTGATTCAATTCTTTATTTTTTATTTCAAAAGTTGTTTTTTTTTTTCATTTTTAACATTAGGCGATGATTGGGTGTTTAGTGTTTATGCAAGTTTGAGGATATTGGTGATTTATTTGTGTAGGTTTAGTAGTGGGTGCTTTGCAAGGGTATATTTGGGCTGAGCACTCTTGTTGCTTGTTTTCCCACTTATGGGGTTTGCCACATTCACCCACTTTTTCTTCCTTATTTTTTCTATTTGGTTTTTACTTATTGGCCTTAACTCTATTTATTTTCATCCAAGTTTTTCGTAGATTCATCTTCATCAAAGTTTGAAATCATGTCGTGTGTATTGCCCTTTCAGAAACTTTGGACTATGCTAAATAATACACACTTACGAATGCATTGTTTTGAAAGATGGACCGATCTGGAGCACGACAAAGCCCTTAAAGTCCTCCATTTGTGTGTTATCCCACATGGATTTACTTTTGAATTCATTGTTTTTAGGTTTGGTATTATGGTTTTGAGTTCGAAATGATTTACTCAAATTATCCCATGCAAATTCATTTTTTTTTTTGATAAAGTTATTTGTTTTTTTGATTGACAGAGGCTTTATGTTTTGTCTGGGAACAATGAGGAGTTGTTTTTAGTTCCTACATTGCATTGTGCTTGAGTTGAGTTCAATAAATTGTGTATGCCATCAGATAATGTGTTTGCCAATAGTAATAATTCTATTATGGTGTTAAGAGAACATTAATATTTATAATCATAGTCATAATACACTTTACCACGATGCCTTGACAATGATTACACTAAATTGATTGGGTACGATTTTTCTGATTTGTGAGATTTCAATAGGTGGAAATTGTGGAATGTTGCGTTTCTGGGTAAAATGTTGTGGTTTATGGCTGAGAACGTTTTATTCTATTATGCTTGCTCTCTATTCACCTAATTATGCCCATTAGCCATCCGATCAAAAGTCACATTGAGCTTCGATTGTGTTGTGTGCATCGTCATCTCCAAAGGAGTTTTCCATTTTGAAGATGATCTAAATGTCAGACATTCTAATTAACATATAGAGTAACTCCATGGTACAAGGACCAGTCAGGTAAGTTTTCTTTTGCAAACAATTACATCTAAAAGGTTAAAAAAAGTAATTTTGTACTTTGTGGAATTAAATTAGAAAGCTTTGTATGTAATTGTTGTAGATTAATGAATCTACACTACATTTATTTAGCAATAACAATTGAAAATTTTATATTTACTACATTAGTTTGTCACATTGTCTTTTATATCTCAATTATAATTAACAGAACGATCATTGCTATACTTTCTATCTTTATTTAGTTATTAAATTTATCTATTTAAATTGTCACTTAACCCTCTTATTATGTCACCCCACAATTATGTATTTTTTGAGGTAACAATAGTGTGACTGAAAGTTTATGTTTGTGTTGGTGTGGGGTAAGGGGTATATGCGTATACGATCTTTCTTAACTTAAAGTTATAATAAATCAACAAGTGGTATGTGTATGTGTGTGTGAATCGCTAATAGAAGTTTGCTAATTTGTTAATTTTTTAGACGATAGGTTCTTTGACATTATTGGGCAATTCGTACTAAATGGTGTCAGAAGTTTTTAAGCAAAATTTGGTGATACTACTTCTTTGAGGTGAATAAGATAGTCATGGGACTACACATTCATGGGGCATGCTCCCTTTTTCGTTGAAACTTTCAGAATTCAATTTAGTGCAGATTAATTATAATTTATTTTTTATGGTGTAATTTTTTATAAAATATGAAATTTAATTATCACAACAAGTTTACTTTATTTGAAATTCTAGCTCTGAGTTTAGATTATCATTTTCTTTTCTTTTAAAGGTTTTAGGTTTTTTGTCATTTGATATCTAAATGTCAATGATACCAAACACCTTAGTTTGTAACATCTTGGTTTATTTAAATTTTACTTTGTAGTGTCCATATTCATTAGCAATTGTTGAAATTGGGTAATACATTTTTTTCGAACATGGATACATATTTGTAATTTTTTTATGAGTTATATAGTGTCTTCAGATACGGACAATTACTAGTGTATATATATATATATATATATATATATATGACTGTTACTTTGTGTGTTGTTGTCGTGCAATGCAACTATTACAATAGAGGCAGACATCATCTCTGGTGATTTCCTTTTATTTTGTGGTCCCATGTTTAAGAATTGGGGCATTTGTGATCTTGATTTCATGAGAAGCTATTAATGTACTTGAGCTGCTCTCACTTTCTCTCAAAGGATAAGGATCCTCTCTCTCTCTCTCTCTGGCGCTAGGTGTCTCTCTTGATATCTCTAGGGATGACCATGGAAGTAAGTGGTGGAACATTATCGGACCTGTACCAAAGCTCAAAGAGGCTATTGCTGAAGACTAGAGATGGTCTGGAGAGGCTCGAAAGACTCGAATTCTCGGCATCCTCGTCCAATGCGAGCATCGATTCTCCGGAGCTTTCCTTTGCCGTCAAGAGGGACATCGTTCAGATCCAGTCTCTCTGTGTCGAGATGGACCGCCTCTGGCGCTCCGTTGCCGCCAAGTCACAGCGCGATCTTTGGAAAAGGTCCGATTCCAATCCCCCCTTCTCTCCCCCCTAGAAATATGCATGCATATCTATATGTTTGCACCCATGCATGCCAATCAATTATATGATCTATTGTACACTTTTTCGTTTGCTTCATTTTGTGGTGGATTTTCAATCTGAGTTGTCATGTTGGGGTTTTGTAGTTTATCATTGGTTTTGCATTGTCGTATGTTTAGTGTTTTTGATTGTGATGAATTTGTTTTGAAATGTGTATTTGGTGAGAAAATTTCTTAGTTTCTGTGATTTGCATGTAATTTCCAGAATATCTTCATAAGTTGGATTGGGAGGTCGCCAATGGAAGTAGGAAAGTCATACCTACAGTGGTCTTATTATATGAATTGGCTGAGAGAACGAAAGGTTGTGGGAAGATGAAGAAAGATTGCTACATAGCAGTGCTATGGTGGGTGATGGTTAGACCCAAAATTGTTCTCTGATTTTTCCTAATTAAATCCATTCTGTTGTGGACCACTATCAATCGACCGAGACATCATTTTCCGAAGTGGCTTCAAATTACTGATGCATTTTCCAAAGTGGCATCAAATTACTGATGCATTTTCCAAAGTGGCATCAAATTATGGTTGCAAATCTGAAATTGGGCCAAAATTGCAAAGAATTATATCTCTTGGTGTTTCTGTTTGGTGAATATTCCTGGATTTGTTCAATCTAGTTTGCGATTTTCTTGGAATGTGAATGATTCGGGCACATTTTGAATGTTTGTTGAAGAAGCTGCTATGTGAAGCTAGATAAGCTTTTTTGCACTATGAAAGAATAGTGGAGACTAGTTGCTGCAGCTATTTTTTTAACTGCTTGTTAGTGGAAATGTTAACATCATTAAACAAGTTGACTCTAGGAGATACAAACCCAAACTGGTTACCTTCCTTTTATTTTTGGCCATAGTCTTGGTCAAGGATCTGTAGTCCTTGTGAAGATTGTATCTGATAGCATTTTTCTTGTCTTGTATTTGCACTTGATGTGTTACATATACTTTTCAAAAAATAGGAAAGTGGAACAAGTAGCTGAAGAGGCTGACTCATTGAAAGATAGTCTGGATAAGTACTTCTTGCGGAATCAAAGACGGGTGCAAGAAGCCCAAGAGAGAGCAGAATTGCTTGGAAGAGCTGTGTGTAATCCTTTATTTGGATGATATGAATGGTCACATATTATGTGTTGATTCTTCTCATTTAAGTACCTTTTCCATCTAATGGATTTGCTTTTTGTACTAGAATGGGGAATCCTCTCATATTTTGAGAATTTTTGATGAGGAGGAGCAAGCAATGCGGTCTGCGCGCAACTCATCCAGGATGCTGGAAGAATCTCTTGCAACTGGAGTGGGCATCCTCGGCAAGTATGCCGAGCAAAGAGATCGCTTGAAGGTAGCTCTAGTCAAGCAAAGGCCATGCATAAATTTGTAGAGACATTTGTAGAGACAAGTATACATATAAACCAGTGGTACAAATGCTCATATCTGAATACTTTCAGTGGTACATAGATTCTAATATAGTTAAAGTGGAATTGTACTATGGAAGAAGAGAGGAAAAGAAAAAAGAAGGGAGTGTGATACAAAATAGGGTTTTAGATAGAAGTGTTAGACTCATTTGGAGCTCTCAATCTCGTGCTATGATGAATGTGACATATGTTAGGTCCATAAGATAGCATAACTTTAGATATTTTTGGATTCATCTCTTCTTTGCCCATGTATTATTATACACTATAAGCTAACACTCCATTTCAAGTTGGTGGAAAGATGTCTCTCATGCCCAGCTTGCATAAAAGAGAATGAAAAAAATCTGCCACCAAGGCTTTTAGTAAGTACATCTGCATGTCTTCGCACTATTTTTTGAGAGAAAACCATTAGTTATTGTAAATGTTAATGAGTAGAAAGATTAGAAGAGAGGGTAAGGAGTCCTCTACAAGAACAACATTAATAACGAAAAACCCAAAGAGGAAAAAAAATCAGAAGATCATAGCACTTCAAACACTTGTGCCTAATTGTCCTTAGGAATCACTTTGGTGCTTATTAAACAATAGTGGTAAGAAGGGTGGACTGAACAGTCAGTTAAACTATGGTTAAACTTTATTGTTGTTAGTCCGAGTGTTTTACTCTTTTAGTGGAATGTAATTTTGATGTTGTTGGTTGGATTTATTATGCATGTACCTTGGGTGTGTCATGACTTTTAGTTTTTACTATTTGGTGATTTCAGAAATTAAAAAAAAAAAACTGTCATTGTTAGAAAACTGGCCTGAGCTTTTAAGAAGAGCAAGTGTTCTCTGATGCTTCTTCTTTTATAATTTTGTTTTACATGTTAAAGAAGTGTGCTAGTTTAATTTTTTTTTTTCAGATCAGAAATTATGTTCTACTCAAAATATCTGTGTTTCCTAGTTATTGATGCTTCCATTGGTCGTGGACTCTTTTCTGCTAGTTTCTTGCTAGCAGTTCCTATTATTTACTTTGTGCATTCTTAGCATCTTCTGCTTCCAGCATTTCCTATCCATTCCATGTCCTTGCTTCCTGCTTTTGCTTCCTTTTTATGCCTCCTCTTTCTCATGTTGCTATCCATTGGTGAGTTCAATCTTGTCGCATTTTCTGTGACTGATATCATTTTAGAAAGTTTGCTGAGAACGTTGCATAAGATGGTGGGAACAGTTTATATCTGTTCTAAGCAAAGTGAATATGCCCAAGTGGTTAAGAAGCTGTGGGTTGAGAATCACCAGCTGCATGATGGTTTTATTCCCTTTACCCTTAGGAGTGGACTGGATCCACACTGCATCCTCCCCCCACCAAACAAAACAAAAAAACAAGAAGATAAAAACTTTGTGTTTGTAATGTTGTGCTGCATTGATATTTTGGATGGAGCACCCTAGTTTCTAGCATTGCTGCGTGAAAATAGGATGAGATTCAGATCTGTTCTGCCCTGTAGGTCTGATAGTGTGAATAGGTGCTTTTAAGTTCAGATGCCACAAAGGAAAAACCTCCACCCTGCCCCACCCCCAAATGGTGAGAACTAATAAGGCATAAAAAAAAAATTGAACAAAGTGGTATATCTCGATTTTATTCCTAGCGCTGTCATCTGTGGTGTCACTTCTGCTGATTAACAACTGATTGGATTGACTTTATGCAGGGAGCTCAACGGAAAGCGTTGGATGTACTTAATACTCTGGGGCTGTCAAATTCTGTAATGCGGCTTATTGAGAGGCGGAATCGTGGTGATAAATGGATTAAATATACGGGCATGGCATTGACAATCATCATCCTTATCGTCTTTTGGAGGTGGACCAGGTGATACTACATTTCTTTTTGTTTGCTGTCAGTGTCTACTATGTACCTGGAAGTTTATTGTGGTTGAAAGAGATCATTCTATCAGAATTCATAGAGCAAGTTGTGTCATTCGGAGATTTTGTCCAAAGGATTGACCAAGTAGTGTTTCTTGGATTCTACTAGAAAAGTGTAGGTAAAAAAGAGAAAAAGGGATTGGGAATTGAAAAGGAGGGGGGGATTATCTGAGATGGTTGAGGCGGGTTTATATTTTGGCCTTCGATTTTGAAGTGTGGACCGATCTATTTGCATGGCGATGGATTGTCATCTCGACTTACAGATTGTTATTTACTTTCACGTGAAGATATAAGTTTTTATGGTACTGTTGTTCATGTATCAATAAAGCTGTCGAAAACAAGTTAAATTGTTATAATATATTTTTTTCTATACTGTTGGCGTAATTCTATTTATTGTGCCAATGCTTGGCAGCTTAAAGAGCCATCAAATTGGAAGAGAAAAAAAAGGGGGGGGGGGGGGGGGGAGGTTTAAATTGGTGGGAGAATTACACCCAAACTCCTTATCACTATATTTGAAATATTATACATAGATTTTTTGAAGTTTGTATTTGTGTAACACTTAAACCTCTGTTGTTAAATGTCCGTTTGTATATCCGTTAGTAAATTATATTTAGACCTTTGAAGTTTGCAGACATATTATACTTAGACTTCTCAAGTTTAAAATATTATACTTAGATAAAAAATATTTCAATCAATGATAGAATATCAAATATTTTAAATTTCAAAACAAAAATTCATGTTTTAATGTATCATTTATTGAAATAAAATAAAAAATAAAAAGTCAATTTTTTCTTAAAAAATTATAATTAATATACAATCATATTATCTATTGGAATAAAACTAAAAAATCAATAAAAAGGTCTAAGTTATTCATAATAGAACATGAATTTTATAGTTAAAATTGATGTCCTATTATATTATTTGTTGAAACAAAATCAAAAATCAATATTTATTTTTTTTTGAAAAATTATAATTAGTGTATAATTATATTATCTATTGAAATAAAATTAAAAAAAATCAAATAATAGGTCAAATTGTAATAGATATAATATATTTTAGTTTTAATTGGGGTAATTTAGTAGTTTAATTTGGTCGTTTAAACGATCAAATTAAATTTTAATAGATAGTATAATTGTACACTAATTATGATTTTTTAAGAAAAAATTATATTTTTATTTTTTATTTTATTTCAATAAATGTCATAATAAAACATGAATTTTAGTTATAAAATTTAAAATATTTGATATTTTATCTTTGATTAGAATATTTTTTGTTTAAGTATAATATTTTAAACCTGAGGAGTTTAAGTATTATATACTTACAAATTTTAAGGAGTCTAGATGTAATTTACTAATGGATATATTAACGGATATTGAAGGCATGGTGCAAGTGTTATGCACGTACAAACTTCAGGTGGACTGTGTATAATATTTCAAATGTCAGAGAGATTGAGTGATTAAGTAACAATTTTTAGGAGGTCTGTATGTAATTCTTCCTAAATTGGTAGACGCCTTCTAGCAATAGTTGGAAAGGTTATTGATTAAAGAGAGTGTTTGCTTGTCGTTTACCTTGGGACTAATTATAAATTTTATCGGACTTTTTTTTTGATCAAATTATGCTTTATTATAAAACTGCTAGTTATTGTTCGTGCCTGAAAACATGAAGTAAGGAATGATTTCCTTGTCTGAAAATCGTCATTCAATATATTTGTATTCATACTTAAAATCAAATCACAAAATAGAGGAAAGAGAAAAGAATTTAAGCATCGATTGTAGTGGGGGTGAGCGATGGTAGTGGTGGTGGGAAACGGTGATTGTTGTGGTGAGTGGTAACAACCATCGTGGTTGTGGTAGTCTTAGCGGGCAATGATGATAGTGGTGGTGGGTTTTGGGTGACGGTGATGGTAGTGGTGGGTGACGAGGGGTATTTCTGGACGACAGTGTAATGGGTGGTGACAAATGACGATTGTGGTAGTGGTGGTAGGTGTGGTGGGGGTGGGTAATAGTAGCTGGCGGCAATGGTGGACGACGATGGATGGTGGTGGGTTATGGTAGTGGATGGCGATGGGAAACAATTGTGGTGGTGGGTGTTGACGGTGGGTCATGGTGGCAGTGGAATGATGGTGATAGTGATAATAAATATAAGAACGAAATGACGATGGTGGTGGGTGGTGTCGATGAACAACAGTGGTAACAATCGGTGGTGGGTGACGATGGTGGAACAATGGGGGATAGTGGTGGTGGTGGGGTGGCGGCGGTGGTTGTAATGGTGATGGTCGTAAGAGTGATGATGGGACAATGGTGGTGATGACAGGGTGGTGATGGTGGTAAAGGTAATGATGAAACAATGATGGTGGTGGGGGTGGTGGTAGTGGGTGGTGGTGGGATAGTGATAGTGGTAGTGGCAATAGTTGTGGCAGAGGTGGTGGTGGGGTGGTGGCAATGGCAATAGTGGTGATGGCGGTAGTCATGGTAAGACGATTTCAAACATTATTTTTTTTGATAAAATACTTATGAAAAGTAATAGATACTAAAAATACTTTTAAAAAATCACTCTAAATATACTCTTAGGAGCTCATTTTTCCTATTAAATTTGAAGTATTAATATTAGCCATTAAATTAATTTTAAAGTAAAATTTAAAACAATTTCAACCGCGAAAAGTAAAAATCATTTTGTTTATTTTTTAAGATTTGAATTGTATTATATTTAATTATATAGATTTTAAAGTCTTTTAAAATTGGGGACCTAAATAGTTGGCTAATTGTGGAGTAAATATTGGGTGTAATGGTGACATCATGTCATCAGTGTCACATGGTGTTATCAACCAATTATAAAACAACAAATAAGATTGGTAAATTTCATTGTGTCACGTGGTGTTACCAACCAATTATAAAACAACAAATAAAATTGGTGAATTTCACTTTTGCAAGTTATCAGAGCTCCAGCAAGTTGATGTGGAGGTTGCTACAAATTTTGCACCAACAATTCTAATTCTAGATTCAATTAACTCAACTTTTTGTAAAATAAAATCAGTTGGTCATGTTCAGAATTGTCAATAATAACCGAAAAGCATAGTCTGATAAGATGAAGAGACAAATGTAATATGATCAGACAAAGACACAAAATCAAAACTGTGCCAAAACGACAAGAGCCTGTGTCCATATATTCCAACATGAATATCTTGGAAACACTATGAGCTACAACACAAACTAAGATGGGAGTATTAACTCCCTGCACAGAAGAAAAACTTGAGGAGGCACAACTCAGCTTCAGATCCTGTGTGTTAAGCTGATTTATCATACTGCGCATTTCTCCTTGCACATTCCAAGATGGTTTTGTCTGCGGTGATGAAGTATGCAGCAATGGATGCTGTTCAAAAAAAAAAAAAAAATTGAAGCTAAAGGTCAATATTTTCAAACTTGGGTGCATGCAATTGAGAGCATTTTAACGAAAAAATAACAAAGAATATTATTGTTTTTTGTTCTTCATGGTTGAAATACGGGTCTAACATTACAATAGGCCATTTTAATAAGATATAACGTATTGATGAAACAAGGTTGTGATTTTGACCTGACTGGGAAAATCAGAAAAGTATAAACCCAACCAAGAAATTCACAACTATCACATTTAAGTTAACAATATATCCAATTGCAGCAATTTCATGGCAAGCACAATCGACCACTACAAAGACTAACAATGAGTAAGAGATAAGGTAAAGAGGAAAGCTCCAAGCAGGGCAGAAGCATGTATGTGTGTATGCTTTTGTCTGCCAAGCAAGAGTTAAACCTTGTGTATAGCTCCTAAGCACCTCTTCAGAAGGAATACATGGTTGATACAACTTTCACAAGTGAAACGAATAAAGGTTTTCTCAAGCTTCACAATTAGACTGGCACTTCAAAGTTTCTAACCGAATTCAATTCACAAACATGGATCACCATACAAAAAAAGTTCTATACTCCAATTCAATCCTATAAAACTGAAGACGACATGTTTCCATATGAGAAATTTGGTGGATTTCTCGTGGCTCTAAGAAAATTTGACTTATAAAAGAAATTCCACTTCCAAATCAGAATACTTGGATGGAAAGAGCATCCCAATTAGCTTATAACTTTGCAAGACTAACTCGCATCACCTTTTTGGAAATCTTTTCACGCCTAAAACCCTGGATCCCCAACAATCAGTGATGGAACTACCTTCATTTCCTTTATAACTATTCACTTATTGATGGGAGAACATTTTCTGACGTACAAGCTATGAGTAACAAAATCGAAGAACATATAATAGTTAGTGAAATGTACAGTAAAAACATACCAGCCGATATAATGAGTGCCTGAGCAGTATAGTTGAGGTTTGCCTTTGCCCAAGGAATAGTACGAACAGCAACCAACTAAAGAACGCAGTAACAAAAAAAAAATCACATAGATGGAAAGGATAAGTAGGTAACCCAGGTGAACTACAGTATACACTGTTGAGACTTCAGTTCATAATCAGCCCAAATAACTGATTGAGCCAAAATTTAGGCAGAAATGCAAGGGCTACAAAAGAAAGTGCATCATGCATGCCCTCTCACAACTATTATTATGATTTATGAAAGTAAGCTACTATTAATTTCTCTACAGCAATAGGAGAGAGAAATGTTGAAAGATATGCAGAAAAAGCAATCATGTGAACTAATAAGCTTCATAGCCAAATATGCAAAATTCCAGATGTGCAAAACTCCTTATAGCTCCGTCAGCTAAACCTTGAATACTTGCATCATTGGCAGATCGCTAATATGTGTAACCAAAACTTAAGCCCAATACTTGGATGGACACTAGTGTCCATCCATCAAAAACCTAGTTAGGTGATTCTCTAGGCAAATATATTCCCCCATGGCAGGGGCCAATTAAAAATTTCTTTCCCTGACCAAGCAGTGTTATGTTTCTATTGGCTTAGTAGAAAGACAATCTCCTACTTATTGAATATGATAATTGAAGTTATATCGTCAATGTTTGAGGTTTGTTCTGCACGTAAATGACTGAGAATCACCAACAAATACGGATGTATGTTGAAGTTTAGATTGAGTCAAGAAGCTCACTAATGAAAACGATAGAAGAATATAGGTAGATGCGACATGACAATGTGGAATTGAGGGTGATGATCAGGTCCCAATGGTGCACAGCTTAACATTAGGGGTGGGCAAACAACCACCAGATGGCAGTAAACTGACAGGTGTTCAAATGATACTCAATATACATCCCGAAACTGTGATGAATGAGAATAACACAAAGTTTCCGTACCGTAGGCACAGCACTGGCAACACATGCAATGGAAGCTGCCTTGACTCCCGCACGAACACCTTCTGCAAAGTATACAAACAAACACTATTTGTAATCAAGCCATGACTTGCAATAGAGGGGGAAAAGGAAACCATTACTGAAGCAATTGAAGGAGCTGCACTGAAAGAAAAAAAAAAAAAAAGATATGCATTGGCATTATTTTCATTTTCATTTTTATTTATTGCTGTTTGCCCATTTCAAAATTATGAATTTTTCAATTTCTTTGATTCTATTACATCTTTTCAGCAACCCCCAAAATCAGTTTTACATCATCTATGCGAAAATGATCAATTTTTTCATAAGATCTTCTTGTCAATTATTCAAAAAGGTCCAATAATGGCCTTACGTTATTCAAAAACTAAGCATGCTGATTTCTACAAGTTTCTAATTGATACAACCAAACTAACACAAAAATAACAGCAATCAGCTAATTACCAGTTCATAAAAAAATTACGAACGACAAAATGCCAAAATGATGTGTATTCAGATAGACACACAGAGACAAAACCTTCTAAGTTCCCTATTCGAAACTACCAAAAATTGAAAAAAAAAAAAAGGAAAAACAGAATTGATACCTTGAGTACAATCCCTTGCGTTCATGATCTTCCGTTCTTCAGCGGGCGAAGCAATCAAGAGAGATTGTCTTCGATTTGCCCATCCGTCCTTGATGATTGACGGAATTCCCATTTCTGTCAGTCCGTTTTCGAATTTCTGTTTCACAAAAACCCTAGAGACAGAGAGAGTCAGAATCGTGTGGTATTGACTCTGCAAATCTAAGAAAGAGCGCACACCGAATCAGGCTCTGCTCCGTTGCTCAGTAGCTCTTCTCCCTGTGTCTCTACGGTGAGTTCTTTCGCGGAAGTTTGTGTGCGAATTGGGGAGTAAATATTGAGCTTGGTTGAGTACTGGCTTGTCAAGTGACCCAGACAAATTTTGATTGATTTGACTATGAATTTAATTTTAAAAGTTTAATTTGAATTCGATCCGATGATTTAATAGATTTTATTTTTTTGTAGTTCGTATTAAAATTTGATTTAATTTGATCCAAATAACTTTATTAACTAAATTCAACTAAATTTTTTTAATATTTATATAAACATATATAAATATTTTTGGATTGGATACATAGTATATAATTCGAATTCTTGAAATATAAGATATTAGATTTAGATTCGGATTCAAATTATCGATATAAAAATATTAATTCATATCTAATTAATCAGATTCAAAATAGAATTCGATCCATTGACAAGTCTAGTTGAGTTTGATTTTTGGTAACTTATAAGTATGAGGCCACACTCCGAAGAGGTTGTTTGGTAAGGGAGTATGGTGGGATTTGGCAAGATGGGTTTGAGAAAAATAGTCCAAATGATCCTCAAATCTTATGTGTTGGATTGAAAATTGGACAATTTAAAAGCCGGTATAATTTTTTAGATTTAGTTAAGCAAAAAAATAATTCAAAAACTTATTTAGGGTAAATTGCATATTTTTTAAAAATGACACAATTGTCATCTGTAACACAGCAAATATATGGAAACCTGTACGTCTTCCATCCATTTTCTTTGCTACAATCAAGGAAGGTAAAATAAGGGGTTTAATTATCAAAATCCATCTTCTTCGGCTAAGGGATTTTGTGTCCATGGGAATGGGCAGAACTTTGATTGTTCATCGTCCATAAAAAAGAGGAACAAATAGTTATTGTTCATTGTCTTCTACAATATGTTCAGCGTCGTCTATAGTCAAGTAACTGTATATCTTCTCCGGCAACTTATTCACCAAAAAAAACAGGTGACATCCATGTTTCATTTTTTTGTCATTCATTATTTTTTTTTCACAATCTGTGTTGTTTGATTTTGGAAAAAAACAAAAAAATAAAAGGTGATTTAGAAGAATTTTGGTGAAATTGTAGGTTTGTAATTAACGATTGAGTAACCTAATCACAAAAGTTAAAACATTTGTAGATGATAAAAAACTTTGGAACAAGAATTTTTTGATTAAAAATAGTTATGTAACTTTTTTTGATGACAATCTACAAACAATTAATATTCAAAACTTAATAGTTGTTCACAGTTTATTTTTCTTGTGTAATAACTAGTTGTCAATAATATGATTCTTATTTAACCAAAAAAATCTGGGTAGCTCCCAATAAGGGCAATGGCCTTGATCTGTAGATGTATTCTTGGGACCAATCTCTGCAAGAGGTCACTGTTAATGTCTCTATAGCTTCTGGAACAAAATCGAGGTTTGTTGTATGTGAAATAAAAAAGAACCATCTGAAAGTTGGTCTCTAGGGTTAGCCTCTAATAATTGATGTAAGTCAACCAGTTTGGGAGTGAACTAGTTTGTTGATCCTTATTGAGCCACCTGACTGTATTATTCATATGTTGATGGCAGTTATGTGCAATACTTATTAGTAAACTCAGTTAGCTGTGGTCCCATCCACAACACCAAAAAAAAAAAACTTTTGAGGTGATATTTTGAGATAGTGTGCTTCATTGTTCCATTTTTAGACAACCAAAACATTCAAACATACGTGGGACAAATGAAAAGAAAGAAAGAAAGAAAGAAAGAAAAGACTTCGAACTTTGAATTTGACTTCCTTCTGATAGATAATTTGCATGTTTATGTTAAAATAGCCCCAACGAACTACACAATATATTCTTCATCATGCCATGGCTATGAGTTACTATGTTAAAGATGATTTTTTTTTGATTAAAAATAGTTACGAAACTTTTTTTAAGTAACTATTTGTGATCACAAATTACAAACAATTAATATTCAAAAATTTAATGTTTGTAAATGTATTGTGTAACTATTTTGTGATTTTTAGTATTTTCATTCTTATACCTGTTATTGGTAACTGTATTGAATATCTGTTGAGTAGCTTTGTTGGTTATAACTGTGTTGAGTATCTGTTATGTCGAATTGTATGTTACATGTATATATTCATGGAATGAAACATTAGTTGTAGATTACATTGATTCATAATCAATACTTGTGACCCTAAAAATAGTTACTATGTGCAATTGAGTTTTAATGCTCCTTAAAATTTAGGTGAATCTCATTCTAACGAATTAAACAGTTACCAATGTGTGGACTAATGGTTAGAGTAATATAGATACACCATATACTACTGTATGATACCCTAGCGTTGTTGATGCATTAAACAGGTCATGGCGAAAAAACAATCTTAAAATAAAAGACTTGCTATAAGGAGTAGAAAAGAAATTTCACATCAGGAGTCATAAGCAACAAAGACAAATGATGATATAAATGACAATCAAAGTGAATTATACATCACTGGTGCAAGGTACAAGCCTCAATACAGATCAAATATGCTTCCCATTATCATGGCAATTGAAGAACTTTAGTTAAATGACTATAACAAGACAACGTTGCAAACGACTCTGTTCTGGTTGCTTTTTGAATGTATAATTGACCAAACTATGGACAAAACATGGTGCCGTAAAAGTGACAGCTGCATTTTTGAAATAATATTATGTTTCAATTCTAATACTTCAAGATTCAATATCGGTAGCAAAAAATTGAGGTTGCAGCCTATTGATGTGACTTTAATATTTGGGATACAAGATGAGTGTGAAAAGATTGATTGTACAATACATGAAAAAAGTTTACACCCTTTACTGAATGCTGGTTCAAAAAGGATTGGAGGTTGACAACAACATTGATAAGAAGCAAGCTAAAACAAGCGTCTGAATTGGACAGTGAGACTGGTTATGATGACCTGGCTAGATTATTATGTATGTATCTGTTGACAACATTTTTTTTTCCAGTAACAGGAAACACAATGAATTGGGGGTTTGTACCATATATTGAAAAGTTGGATGCATGTACAAAATACAATTGGTCCGAAGCAATAACTGATACTCTGCTTTCATCCTTGAAGAAGAAGGAAACGCTGATGACAATCAATGGATGCGTCCTCCTAATACCGGTTAGTATTTTAATAAAAATAAAATATTAATTTGAGAATTTAAATTACTTTGATATAACCCAATATGATCTAATTATCGTAAACTTTTATGCAGTACTGGTTGTATGAACACACCTCTATGATAACTCCTAGCACTGAGAGGCCATTTCCCCAGTTCCTCAAATGGAACTTACCAAGTCTGAATAGGGCCATCAAGCAAAAATGTTTGGCAAACATCATGGCAAATGATGTAAGTCTCACTTCATCTATTGTAATCCATATAACTTGTAACTGTTTTGAAAAAGGTTACTATATCACTGTTTGTTAATTAAATTTATTTGATCCTCAGATTATGAAGCAAAGATTGAAGAGAACTAAGGAAGAAAAAATGTTTATCTCATCAAAAAAGAAGGCAGGAAAAAAAGCGAAAAAAGCAATGGAGAAGGAGTTAGATGACAATGAACAACTTGAGACAGAAGAAAATGGTGTTGTCAAGCCATCAAGTGGTGATGATGAATGGTCAAATGAAATGAGACAATTTGTTGACTTAGTTGAAGTTAATGTTACCCAACCAACAGAATGGCAATCAATAGAACATGATGTTTGGAATGACGGTGAAAAGGACAACATTATAAGAGAGAGAGAGAGAGAGATGAAGCTCAAAGGATTGTTTTTGAGTTGATGATAAAAGATAAATTCAACCAAAAAAAGATTGACGAGTTGTCTAATGAGAATGAAGCATTGAAAAGACGCATGCAAGACACTGTTGACATGGACCATCACAAGGTATATATAAAATTAACTGTTATAATGTCTTTTCTTTGTTTAATATTCATACCTTTTGTTGTTGTAACTCTATGGGAATTTGTTGCATAATTTTGTGATCCTTGTAGTGTGTAACTATATTATACCTGATTGATATAACTGTTTTTATATAGTTAGCTATCTATTAAGGTGCATCTATTTGGTGCTTATGCTTGCGTAACTGTTTCAGCACTGTGTTGTTTAACTGTTTTTGGTCTAACATGTTAACTGTATGGTTCAACTTTTTAGGTACCTGTTAGATGTTAGTTTTTTTTTCAAATAGTGAACTATGTGGTGCAATCATTTTTGTACATATTTGATTAACTGTTTGTTATTCTTGATGATTTGGTTTGGGGTAACTATTGTATTATCTAATGTATTGTAACTTTATAGTGTAACTGTTTTGTATGTCACTGTTTTAGGTAATTGTTTACATTATTGGTTAACTGGTATTTTCATAATGAGTTCATGCAGCAAGCTGAAGTGCAACGGGACATTCCATGTGATGATAATGTTTAAACATCACAAATGACGGATTCTATGTTGCAAATAGTTGATAGAGACACAAAAATCGTGCAACTTGAGACATTGGTTCATACAATGCGTACTGAAAAAGGCACAATTGAGGCCAAAAATGTGACATTAAAAGAGAATGTCCAGGTATTAGAAGCTGAAAATGCAGAATTAATAGATCAAATAAACGAGTTGTGTGAAGACACTGGTCCATTACCGGACCCCTGTCTTCCAAGGGCAATCCTCCCATTACCGGGATATACCGCCCTCCACCAAAGGATTTCGGCTAACCTGCAGGGCAAACCCCCACAGTAGCCTTTACCTCTGTCCCACATCGGGGAAATAGTCGTCTCCCCACCCCCATATAAGCCGAAGCACCATATGAGAGCAGTACCCAAATAGCATACTGCTCTCATATGGTGCTTCGGCTTATATGGGGGTGGGGAGACGACTCTTTTCCCGATGTGGGACAGAGGTAAAGGCTACTGTGGGGGGTTTGCCCTGCAGGTTAGCCGAAATCCTTTGGTGGAGGGCGGTATATCCCGGTAATGGGAGGATTGCCCTTGGAAGACAGGGGTCCGGTAATGGACCAGGGTCTTCACAAGTTGACTGTTCACAACATCACTCAGAATTTGCATACCACCAA